CCCCCAAGCCTGAGGTAAAACCTGAGGCTGTTTACTATGGCTCCAAAGGTCAAAATTAATAGCATGAATTGAGTCTTCTTTTTGCTCTTTGAAACTCCTTGTCAAGTGGCACAGCCAGCTGGGCACACAACTCTGATATGCAGATCACAGCGTTTGTGACCAGATAAAATGAATTACAATGAGTACAGCCCATCATATTTCAACTAACAGGAAGGTCTCTCTCTTTTTCACCCAAGTACTGCCCAAATGTCTTCTCTTATAGCCCACCTGGGGTCATTTTAAACACCTCAAGAATCTATACTAAATACTCATTAGCAAATGACTCTGGAAGCCAACTCAAGGTTTGTAAAACTGCAGTTATCCTTAGAACAGGGTAGTGTAGTTAACTATATAACAAAAATAAGTATTAGCTACCAGTATGCTAAATATTCAAGTATATTATTTCATTTTGATCCCCACTAGCCCCCAAAATAATGATATTTTCATTTTTAAGGTGAGGAAATTGAAGTATGGGGAGGTTAATTCTTTTGCTCAGGTAAAAGCCAAGACTCTTACCTGAGTCTGCCTCAAACTAATATGAGATTAAAAACTTAAAAGGAATAAAAGAAATGGTGATATACTACGAAGTGATCACCCAAAATAGAGGAAAGATCAGGAAAGTTGAAGAAACTCAAAACTGCCGCAAGATATTCAAAAACTACAACTGGCGACTTGTGCATCATACAAAGAGATGTAGCAATTTATAAGTTCCAGTTATGGTTCTCTAAGACAATAATGGTTAAAAAAAAAAAAAAAAACAACTACCTTTCAATCAATAGATCTCTCATTTTGGAAAAAGCTGCCTACAGCACTAGTTCCTTATTACCATTCTGGGACTGTGTCCTTGACAGCAGTGCCAGCGCTTCTACCAGAACACCAATCACACCATCTGCTGTCTGAGCAGCAGCAATTCTTAACACTGGTGCCCGGTCTTACTACTTTAATAGCAACAGCCCAATACCAGCAACCAAAACAACCAAACCCAAAGAGCTGGCTTACGAATTTTATCCATATATACCCTGCCCACGATCCAGGTACCCACACACCCACCCACCAGCTCTGCCCATTTGCCCACCACTACGAGCTGGGCACTGTGCTGGACACGACTGCTCTTCTCCCCACCTGCAGCAGTTCTCCAACGGTAAGAGAAGCCCAGCATTGTCCCTTCCATACAGAACTGTGCTCACAACACCCAAGCACAGGCCAATTATGAAATGGGCTTTCCCGTTAAGTAAATTACAAAGCACCAGTCATAAAACCATATGCATTTAGGGCAACAGTTCCCAACCCTGGCTGCATGTTACAGATACCTGGGAGCTTCAAAATACTGCCAATGCCTGGGCCTCATCCCAGGCCAATTAAATCAGAACCGTGCGAAGTCGGGGACCAGCCTGAATATACTTTTTTTTTTTTTTTAAAGCTTCTCTTGTGATTCAAAAGTACAGCCAGGGTTGAAAACTGGCAAACTTCAGTATTTTTAGGATGGTATTTCTGAACACCTCTTAGCCCACAAATGAGTTAGGTGGTATGAACACCACAAAGGTTCGCACTCACTGCACCCGCCATCTGGGTGGTATTGAGATGACACGTTGATCAAATGTTCTCTTAAAATCAAGTCCCCATTATGTCTGTTTATGGCAATGGAATGCTAAACAAGAGAGTACCTTGAGGTCACTCACCGCCCCCCAGCGGCCCCAAGCCTCACTTGGAGAAGGCTCTTGCAGTGAGGAGGTGTTTGAGGAACCCTCCCTCTCTCACAGCTGAGGGTCTGGGGGGGGAGTTGAACTGGTCCCATCCAGGCAGGAAGCAACCTCAGCTCAGTAACCCGACAGGAGGAAACCTTCACAGTTCAGGCATGATTATCAAACTCTTTGTGCTCTTACAGGAGAGTAATTATAGGCATGTGAAAAAAGGGAAGCACTCCCCGAGGAACTCTTCCTCACATGCTTCCCAAGAGGCAGTAGGGCCATTAAAAATTCCATGATGAAGAGGAAAAACAGCCTGGGAACAGCCAGGAGGCAATACAGCAAATTAATACACCAGGCCTCCTCAGGGAAAGCTGTGATAAAACAGGAAACACTTCTCTCTTCGCAAAATAAAATTATACCGCTAATGATAACATAGTCACCACACACACACGCACAAATCGTTCTAATGATGGGTGTGAAATTCCCAATGCTGCCCAGATGCTTTGAAAGGAATCTTTATGGCAAATAAAATGGAACAAGAAAAAGACAAAATTTCCATTCAAAACAGTTTTTAATATGGCCATTCACCTGCTCCTCCCCTAATACCACTGCTCTTTAACAGTCCTTCCCTAGGTGCCAGGTTTTCTTGAATGGTCCACTCTTTGCAAAGCCCACCATCCACTTCTGAACCCAACTGCATCCGCCAGCCACACTGGAACTAGACTGCTCCTTCTCTGCTGACCCCCTGCTGGGCAGGGACCTCGCTGTTAAGGAAAACAGGGAGCCCCGAGGTAACTGTCTCATCACCCACATTTCCTAAAACCTGTGGAGGTCACTTGTGCTGACCATTTCCCACAGATCGGGGGTTCCCACACTTTACTGCTCGTGTGCCCTCATCAGTAAAAAATCTGAACAGTCCTTATATATGTAATACATACACATAAAACAACAATATGTGCTGCTAGACTAATATATGTATAACTTAAAAAATTATTTTAAAGATAAGATAATAAATAAATGTAAGTTTAAAAATGTTCTTCCCTTGCCCCAAAGAACCTTCATGTTTGCAACCCCACTTTGTATCCACTGCCCCAGGAATGATGTCAGGCAGGACAAGGATGAGCTGTAAGCGTCCACACTCTCTCATCCAGCTTTCAGCAACAGTCTGAAGCAATAAGCACTATCTCCACAGAGCTGAGTGCACCAGAAACACAGCCTCGGCTTCCTTACGCTTCCAAGTCTGGCCACAAGCACGGCCAGTAAGAGAACAAAGATAATGATGTGGATAATGAGACACACAAAGAAACATGAAGCTCACACCCACTCCAACTAGGATGAGGCCTTAAAGGCAATAGGAAACCTGACAAAAGTGTGGATATATCAATCTCAGCACAGCTCAAGGCAGCAGAAGTAAGGGGAGGAGGACAAATAATCCACCTTCAGTATCTGACATGACACAGTGTTACTCATATAGTCTTCCTAAAGAGCACACATGGACATTATTTTATTTTGTATTAAGACAAGTAGCTGGAGGACTGCTTTCCTATGAAATGCAACTTCATTTTCCAAGACAGCCTGAGCACTACCACCTCTAAGAAAAGCTCCCTGAGCCTGAGTTAGGAGCTGCTCTTCTAAGTTTCCATCACTCCGGTGCACACATTTAGGTACCTGTCTGTCATTCCTAACTGTAGTTGTCCATTTCCACATCTGACCCTCCCATGAGGATATAAGCTCCTTTAGGATAGTACTAAATATCTAAACAAAGTACCTGGCACATAATAAAGTGAAAGGAAGTGAAAGTGTTAAGTCACTCAGTTGTGACTGACTCTTTAAGAACCCAGGGACTGTAGCCCACCAGGCTCCTCTGTCCGTGGGATTTTCCAGGCAAGGATACTGGAGTGGGTTGCCATTCCCTTCCCCAGGGAATCTGTCCCACCCAGCGATTGAACCTGGATCTCCTGCATTGCAGGCAGATTCTTTGCCATCTGAGCCACTAATGAAGGCTTCCCAGGAAGGCACATAGTAAGGAGTCAGCAAATGATGAATGAATGATGGCTAAATAGCATGCGACTAAGAAAAGGCATTACAGTAGTTTACTAATATCCTCTAATTTTCCAAGCTTTTACTTAACACCATGCGTGACAGTCTCTCTTTTCAAAAGATTTTTCCTACTAAAATACTACTTTTCCAGTAGAAGGTCAGGCAGGCGGTTATAGTGCAGAGTTCATTATTACAGGCCATAGCAAATATCCTAAGTATATCCATGAAAAAAATAATTTCTTTGTGCAGCCTGCCCCCCAAATCTATGAATATATCTGCTTAACAATGTGTTAGGAAGAATTAAGGAAAAAAATCACTGGAACCTTGGAAAGAAACTCTTCGTGCCACGAGAAATAATAAAGTTCTATGGTTCAGCCTGTGAGCTACTCCGTGTGCGCAATAACCCACTAGGGCATGCCATCACAGAAACCATATTTACTTTGCATTTCACCCAACTTGAGAGAATGTATATTCAGAGGCACTGATTTCATTCTGCTATGCAAGTGCAGGATTTATCCTGACAAATTCATACTGAATGCCCCATAAGCGCCAGACACCGTGTTAGGCGTGGGGGACATACTTATCAGGGAACAAGACAAGGTCCAGGCACTCTGAAGCTTAGAGTCTAGTGAGAGACAAGGGGAAAAGTAAGAAAAACAAAACAACAATAAAGTCATTACAGATTGTAATTACAGCTCTGAAGGAAAGAGAGAGATAACGAGCAGTGAGAGGTACAGGCAGGCGCTTTTACACAGGATAGCCCGAGGGGGTCCTCCCAGAGGAGCTGGCCCCAGCTGCGGTGAGAAAGAGCCAACCACAGGAAGAGCTCCAAGACGGCAGTCCAGCAGAGGGAACGCGTGTGAAGGTTCAGCGGCAGGAAAGAGATGTGAATCTGAAGAATAAAACAGAGCTCCCAGGCACAGCTGGGTCTCCCCCTCAGAGAGGAGGAAGAAGTCTATAAGAGGAGGCTGGACAAGAAGGCAGGAGTCAGATCACAGAGGATGAGTCAGAACTTAGGTCAAAGCTGAGGTTTTAAATCATCCAGGAAGCCATGGGATCACGGGAAAGATACTTCAACACTCTGCCTCAGTCCTGCCTCTCTCAAACAACTCCTGACCTCAAAAGTTGTTGAGAAATCAAAGTGGACAGTATACACTAACATACTTTAATCTGAAGAGGGTTATAAAGGACAGCAGTATCATCCAGAAAAAACAGTCACTGGAACACAATTACCTGGCAGAGCAGTGTGCTGGTGAACATCTTCGGTGAGAAGCATCAGCAAGAACATCCAGGGAGTAAAGGGGAGAGAGAGGATTAAACTGCAGGAATAAATGAGATTATTTCAGTAAGGCTTATGTGAAACAGACCTAAACCTAAAGGGCTACCTGCTACTTGCTTACTTTTCCCCTTTGACTCTCAACTCTCCTGTCATACCACAGACACCGTTCAATCAACTGCACAGTCAGCAGTGTACCCACAAATGTAGCATAACTAATCTAGCCAGCCTCAAAAACAGACTATTCCTTGGTAAGCAGCAATTTTTCAAAAACTTCTGATACATAATAATTACTTAAGTGGCAGAATACAGTACTTTCTAACTAACATAAAGGGAACTTATGCCTACTGATTTTCAGCCCTTGTTCCCAAGAATACTAGCATGAAATTACCTTGTCCTTATCCTGGCAGATGTTTCCAGTGAATAACTGGTTAGCACAAACCAGCAGCAGTGTAGTGGAAACAGAACTAGATTAGGAATTAGAATATCCAACGTTTAGTTCCAGCCTACCACTGAGTTGTCATATATTAAAAACTACAAAATCTCTTTGGGGTTTACTATCCTTATCTATAAAACAGATGTATTACTATCTGTCTTACCTATTTCATGGGATTATGGTGAGGGCTACATAAAATATTGCTTTTGCTTTAGAAAGTAATTTCAGTTTCTCATCTGTAAAACACCTATTCACCTCAAAAGCGGGGTGGGGGGGCAGTAAGGATCAACTGGGACACTATATACAAGTACCTCACTTTATGCTGGCTAGCCTTCTTTGCATTTTTTTCCACAATAAAGACTCCTCCCCCCACATTTCAGAAATAAATATATATGAATACTAGAAGAACAGTGAATGGTGTTAATAATTTCAAAAGAACTTAAAAAGTACACAAATAAAGCAATTGTGTGTCACAGAGGTTCCAGTCCCAGTGCTGTATGACTTTGGGCAAATAGTTTAAACCTCATTTGTAAATAATCCATCTCATCTGTAAATAACAGATCTGGATGAGATGATCATCACAGGTCTCTGTGCCTTTAGATTCTGATGCAAACACAGTTAATACTCTAGCAGAGCAATCCCCAAACTTTAGTCTCTCACATTCCACCTTAATGACTCTATCTGCCCATCACCTGCTCTACTACTTATTTCATATTTTCCATATTAATTTTTACTCAGCATCGTCATCACTATATTTCTGTGAAATAATGAGTTTGATAAAATGATTATTTTTCTATAAACTATTATAACTAAAGTAAAAACTGTGTACCCACATGCCATCTAGAATCATATAGATTCATACCAGTTAGGTCTATCTCTGTTCCAGTCCATTTTGAAATAGTAACTTCAAGACAAAAATTCCAAGTCTAAAAAGTATTATCAACTTATTAACAAACTAATAAGCAGAAAAATCAAAACACCTATCAGTATTCATCTATTTTATAACTAATCATCAAGATGATGCAAACTCTCCCAACAAGACTCAGAGGCTCGGACATTAAAGGGACACATTGAGAGCCACGGCCAGCGACTTTAAATCAGGTCCCTTATAAAGTCCTAGATGTGCCAAGGGCGCCCTCAGGAGCAGCTGGGGAAAAGAGTAAGAGGCTCTAAGGCCTCAACCCCATTTCACCCAAAGCAGCTCTACCTTCCTCTGCTTCATGTGTTTAGGATTCAACATTGCATTTCTCAGCATGGGATGCTAATACTGAACTCAAAAATAGGCAAATGAAGTTCATTCTGATTTCTTACTGCAAAGCTTAAAACCAGAATAAAAACTGGATTCCTATGAAATATGTTACAAGTAATAAACTGAAGATCACAGTTGAACCTAAAAAGGGGAACTGGCTCTTGTTCTTATTAGTGAATACTAAGGTATTTTTAGAAAACAGTTCTCCAAGAAAATCAGAATAACTTAAGGAACAGGAACCTTACCTCATGTGCACAAGCAGAAATGTGAGGAAAATCGGAAGCCAAGGCTTTATTCTTTCTAAAGAAAAGGAAATCAAATGATAAAGATGACAAAGAAAAATAATCTTACCTGATTTCGTTCTCTTTTCCCAGCTGATGGTAACCAGAAACTAAAGAGAGGGAGAGAATAAGAGGAAAGAAAACAATAAAAGAAGTGGTAGGAACATTATTAGAGATGAGAAGATAAAAAAGATATTGGATTAATGAAGTGAAGAAAAAAGAAATCAGTAAAAAAAAAAATGGAATCAGAGGAGAAAAGGAGATGTTAAGTGTGTACGAACTTTTTTTTTTTTTGGCAGAAAATGACTCTTTAAAGTAAAAAGTAAAGCATAAAAAGTAAAAAGCATCGAAACATGTATATTATCTAGGGTGAAACAGATCACCAGCCCAGGTTGGATGCATGAGACAAGTGCTCGGGCCTGGTGCACTGGGAAGACCCAGAGGGATCGGGTGGAGGGGGAGGTGGGAGGGGGGACCAGGACAGGGAGTACATGTAAATCCACGGCTAATTCATTTCAATGTATGACAAAAACCACTGCAATGTTGTAAAGTAATTAGCCTCCAACTAATTAAAAAAATAAATAAATAAAATGGGAAAAAAAAAAAGTAAAAAGTTGGAATACAGAAGACTGGATACTAAAACAACTCAAGATGATGGTGTGAAACCAATGCACTTTCAGCTGTGCGGTGAGAATAGGATCCCAGTTCAACAAGAGCACAGACCACACCTTGTCAATTTTATAACAACCAACCAGGCTGAAAGGATATAGGATCATAACTGGACACTGACCATGACACAAACTAGAGACATCAAAGAGGCAATCGTGTTAGGGGGCAAGGCTGTCACAAGAAAAGGTAGAACGATTCTTCTGGAGCTACACACAGGCTCTCCAGTAGCACTTATCACAGTAGTTAGAACAAAAAGATATTTCTCTGTCTAGAGGTTTAAAAATGGGAAGCGATACAGAAGAGAATACAGAAGCAATCACATACTTTGAATGAAAAAATTTTAAAAGATGGAAAAACTTATTTAAAATATAACATTCTCATTAGAGGCTATTTTTATAACGGAGCACCTAGAGACATAAAATGCAAAGAAATAAAAACTAGTCTAGAAAGGAAAAAACAATCGTTCTCACGAACTTGGCATGTTAGCCATGGTATAAAGTACCAATCTTTAAGATGACCTCATTCAGCTCTACAACAGAATCTCCAGGTTTCTTCATAAACATTCTTCTGCGGTCTCCTCCAAGGAACAGGCTAGGAGAGCACTGGTAAATACAGAAGCACTTACTCTTTCTGACGAGGGTCACTAATGAGGTGGCCTATCCTCTCAGTACCCAGATTACTTATGCTGGACTCCTGAAAAGGCAAAGAAGGTAAAACAAGCATTAAGTATGATCTGTCACCAAACTCACACCTTCCCACGATTATACCAGCAACCCCAAAGCACATGTCAGATGTCAATCTTAAAATCCAATAACAACTAGACAGCTTTTTGTGGAACTCTACAGGGCCGGTGAGCTCAGCTGGTTAGAGCGTGGTGCTAGTAACGCCAAGGTCGCGGGTTCGATCCCCGTACAGGCCACTCTCTGACTTTCCTGGTGGCTCAAACAGTAAAGTGTCTGTCTACAATGCGGGAGACCTGGGTTCGATCCCTGGGTTGGGAAGATTCCCTGCAGAAGGAAATGGCAACCCACTCCAGTACTCTTGCCTAGAAAATTCCAAGGATAGAGGAGCCTGGTGCAGGCTACTGTCCATGGGGTTGCAAAGAGCTGGATATGACTGAGAGACTTCATACCTTCACACCTACTGTAAAAGTATTGCATGTTATTCTAGACTTAGTTTCTTTTAGTGCTCAAAAAAAGTATTTTTTTGAAACTATGTATAGTACTTTAATATACCTCCTGGACTTATTAAAAAATGTCAAAATAGAAACAGCTTTTAAAAAATCCAACAGCAGCCAATTTTTAACAAGCCAGCACACCAAGATCCCTAGAGTCATTCACTTAAAGCCTCAAGAGCCTTCATAATGTGACATTTAACAGAGTCCTCACTAGGAACACCTAAGTATCTACTGACTAAATGTATGCATGTCAAAAGATTCCTGTAACTTATAAAAATTATCACCTTGTATTTGGTCTGTTAAACATCATCTCCTAAAGTAAAAATACAAGTTTGTATAAACTTGTTCTTAAATTAGTGGTTCTCAAGATTGTAATACAAAATCATACCCATAACAACACGAGCAATTCAGAAACTAATCATCTCAAAAAAACTGGAAAATGGCAGAAGGCACTCACCCTTCATTTAACTTGAGTACATTTACAGTGAGTATCTATCACAGAACTTGGGGAAGCGTATTGACAGTACATGAGCAAGAGTTACACGAATATGAGGACTTGTTAAGATGAAAGAGCATAAGTCATGGGCATGAATGTCAAAAATGTCAAACCTGTTACTCAAACACATTTATTTCTGGGCCAACACTATTATCTGTATTCATCTGTGTGTGGATTAGCCTAAATATGAGGGTACACATTTTAGCAGAACTGGCTGTAGAAAAATGAACTTGGAGGTCAGATTTGGGGTGGGAGTGGAGCTAAATGAAAAGGCTTCCCATACTGTATTCTTCTTATTTTTCACTCCTTACACCTACGCCTCTTGGTCACAGGCACAGCCACAGTAAAGCCGCCAAGAGAAAAGATAGGTGAAAAATGAGCTATTTGTTACAGCAGAAAAATTATTAACTTAAAGTGCCGTAATGTTTAAATTTACACTTTATTACTGTGTAAATTACAAGCAGTACTTTGCGTAATTAGCAGCTCGCTGGCAGGGAGCTGTGAATGAAACTCATTATTTATGATTACAATTTAGAAAAAGAGGAGAGAGATAGGGGAGGTAGAAGAAGGGGGGCAGAACAGTGACCTCTGCTAGAAATGACAAATATCCCTTTAAGGTGATGAAGATGAATTAACCAAGTAAATATTATCCTATTCATTTGAAATCATTATAGGCACATCCAACAGGCCCTACTTTCCTTCCAGGCAAGCTAAAGGGGGTCTCCAGGATGAAATTATTTACTTCCATGGGCGTGGAAGGCTTTTATAGGAGCTGAAACAAAAAAAGGTAGGTGTTAGGGAGAACACCATGTGTCAAGCCTAACCAATAAAGAAAAAAAGTCAAACCATTGCTCTGTTCCCCTCTCCCAACATCCTGGGGCCTCCCTCCACTCCATGTATTCCTACCTGCTAGCTGTCCTGTTAGAATAAGCTCCCACAATAGCAAATGCAGCACTGTATTGTCTATAAAATGAGTAATCCAAAAGAAAAGATATTCTTCCAATAATCAAATATTTTTCTAATTACGACATAGAATTTAAAAACCGATAAAAATATGAATTCATCTGAAAATAAACAGACTAATTTCCTTTTACAGAAAACAGTCCTCTGATTAATCTATAAAAACAGTAGCTCCCTGAAGGCAGGAAGACTATGGCTCTGATCACCACATACATGGCTGGGCACAGGGCCTGTCACACTCAGGTACTCTAGATACTTACTGAATGAACAAACATATCAATGCTCTAAAAATGCCTCTCCCACCCTTACTCTTTCTCCACCACAATCTTCTCTGACTGGTAGTGAGCCCCAGTCTTATTTTCAATCTCAAAGCCAGAGTGAAAAATAAGTAATTAATTACATTTAAAAAGATAAAAGAGAAGTAGACCTGGGTTCAATTCTCTGTGTTTTGCCACTTCTATCTGGATAACATCAGACATTCCTTAACACCTTTGAACCCATTTTCCTCATCCTTTAAAGAAAATATCACCTTTTTAACAAGAGTTTTGGGAGGATTAAATGAACTGAGTACCTAGCACAGTCCCTGGGAAAGGCAGAACTGAATAAGCTGGTAGACAGTCCTCCCTTATGGCCAAGGAGGGACTTTTGAAATCTGATAACAGGTCTTGCTTCCCACTTTTTTTTAATGAATTCTAGAATAAAAGACCAAAGTTAAAACCAAAGAAGCATTCGTGAATTCAAGAGGAGTCATAAAGAAGCCAAGAGCATTTCAACTTCTATGATAATAATATAATCAGCAGAGTAGAAGGGACAGAGATCGAGCCTCTAGGTTTACAGACCGCTGACACTGTCATGACAGTGTTTGCTTTTTCAGAACTTCTGTATGAATCAAGTTTCATCTTTCATGTATGTATCCACTCATGTCCACTCACGTTCAGTCTTGTGAACGTGCAAAATACATCTGGTTTATTAATCCCAAGGAGTTCTTCAGCACCTTTGATTACCAACAGGGTATACAAATCTCTTGGGGAATATTATCCTCCCAGTGAGCCTAGGAGATAGTGAGAGCTATCACCTTCCCCACAAGCCTTCTTCGCCCTTTTCTGAGGCATCGAGCTGCAGCTCCAGGCAGACGATTAAAGCGAGCATGGTACCCTAAACAAAAAAGAAGACAGACCTCAGTAACTGAATGCACAAGATTGATTAGCAGTGATATGCTTCTAATACACAAAGGCCTTTCACATGGGGTCTTACTAGACTGACCCTTAAACTAGTATCATTAGGCTACTTGCCAAGTATTTACTATTCCTTTCTCTTTGTCACCAGTGGTATGATCTTAGGCATGTCCTTTACCCGTGACCTAGGCATCCTTGTTTATAAAAAGGGAACAATCATTTGCTCAGTCCTCTTTTACAGAATTTCAAGACTCCATGAAACAGCACATGGAAGGTATTTTATAAACTGAAAACACTACATAAATATAAAGTATTCTCAACAATTTCTAATTAAAAATCAAATGTTAGCTATCATCTCAAAAACATTCTAACTCAGGGGCTTCCCTGGTGGCTCAGGGGTAAAAGAAGCTGCCTGCCAGTGCAGGAGACACAGGTTCAATCCCTGGTCCAGGAAGAGCCCATGTACCGCGAGCAGCCGAGCCTGCGGGCCACAACTGCTGAGCCTGAGCGCTAGAGCCCAGGGCCGCAACTGGGGCCGACGTGCCCTAAGCCCGTGCTCTGCAACAAGAGGAGCCATGGCAATAAGTCTGAGTGCCACGGTGAAGACTGGCCCTTGCTCACCGCAGCTAGAGAAAAGCCCGCAGAGCAATGAAGACCCAGCACAACAAAAATAGAAAAAATAAACAAGAGTATTTAAAAAAATTTTTTTAAGACATTCTAATTCATGAAACAGGTAAAAAAAATAGCATGTATAATATAATCCCAGTTTTCTAATTGCTGTATATGTTCTATACATAGAAGAGACTACTGGAAGAATACACATGAAAATGTTATCAGTGACTCTGGGTGTGGGATTACAGGCCATTTAAAGTTTCTTCTTTCTAGTCTTGCTTGTTTGCATGTACTTTAAGTAGTCCATAAAGGACTTTTATAAATGGTCATTGACGTGTTTATGAAAACTATTAAGGTATCAAATGATGTGCCTCGGCCAGGCGTCCTTACCAAGAACCAACTGCTTTGAGAAGGCGTTTCAATCACCCAAATGCGTAACAAAACACCGCAGAACAGGAATTTACAACTCTTAGTGCAAAGCTGCCCCAACAGATGCTCAACATACACTTGGAAACTGGATGATTATTGGTTTCTGGGGATCTTGGCATCATAAATTTATAGAGCTAAAAGAAACCTCTGAAACAACACTGTTGAATGTCACGATATCCTAAGTCATCACTGTGATGCCCCAGGAAAATGAAGTGACTGCCAGTCACAGAGCTAGGAAGACAGTCCCAGAGAGTAGTCTCACCTTTCCTTTCCCTGTCCTAGGCTCTACCCACTACACTCTGTTACATCATAATCTGTGGGAAAGCCCAGGGAAAGGATACACATTTGTGTTAAAGCCCACAATAACAGAATTACTAAAATAAAAATTTTTTTTAATATTTAAAATCATCCATTTAAAAAATGTCATTATGTCTGCTGTTGTTGTGAATGTTGTTACTGAAATCTGTTCTCTTCCAAGATCCAGGTTTCAGGCTTCCACTGAGCACTCAGGAGCCCATCGGCTTCACAGCAGGATACGCAGCAGTGACACAGTGCTAGGCTTCTTACATCCGGCACAGACGGCAACAGCCAGCTGAAGGCATGCCCTGCTAACATAAATTCTCAGAGTCTCCATGGACTGATTCAGGTAGGAGTGGAGGGAACCTCAAGCTTTGAGACTGACTGTTACACCTTCTGGACAACTCCCTGGCCTAGTTCTAAAATTCAACAGTCAATGCATGCTTACAGGCATGAGTATGCTGGCCATGGGCGGACTGCCCCCAGAGAGAACATCAAAGTATGAAGTGTGTGTTGGTCTCCGTGGAACTCACCTCTTTGAGCTGGTCGAGAAGGTAAAAGGAATGTGGAATCGGAAAGTTTATCCAGTCCAGAATCCATTCTCTCTACTTCAGAGCAGTGGTCAGGAGCCCAGTTGGGCAGCAGATTAGGGACAGTGAATCCTGGGACGCATTCTCCTTCATAGAACCAATCACTCTGCTCATCGTCCCCTAAAGGAAAGAGATTCTGTCATAAGCTGGAATTTTTAACGTCCTCTAGGAGAAGCCAAATGGGAAGATGATGTCTCGGTGCTATAGGTTTGATCATATTTTTTTAAATAAAGTCAAAGTACCAAAAAAAAAAAAGTTTGCTACTTCTTGATCCATACTATGAGAAAAACGGGGACATCAAACTAGTTCCACATAAATGTCACATTGAAGCAAACTGGAAAGCTCTTGATAGTAAAACCTAACCAAGTTACCGCTTACTAAATCCTGTCCACCTATCAGAACCCATGATAAAAAAATCTGTAAATTTGTTATCTCTTCCAAACATTACACTAACTTCAACTTATCAATTAGATAACTAAAGCCCAGAAAAATCAAGATAAGAGTTAGTAATGGTGAAGCCACGGTATGAATCCAAAGCCTGAATAACTCCAAAGCCTTTTACATAAAAATAAACTGCCTCTCATGTACCATTCTAAGTGGCATAAATGAACTTGGAGGTTAAAAACCCACAAATATTTCTCACTTTGAATTGCTATTTCTGCAGGATTTCTTGCTGTTATTTCTTGTAATAGGTGAATAAACGATGTATATTCATACCTTGTTTCTTCCTTGATACCTCACTAATGGGACAAAAAATCATCTTGACAGTAGCAACCCAAGCTACCAGAAAAAAAAAACTAACCACAAAGACAATATAACCCCCCAAGGCTTGTCGAGAAGTTATACCATTTGCCCAAGGCCATACTCAATTATTGACAAAGTCAAGACTAGAACCATACAGCCAGACTCTTGGTTCAAACTTCTTTCTACCGGCTACTATGATAGCATCTCAATTTCCAAAAGAGCTTATTCCTGCCCACAAAGAGTAAGATGGATAACTTTCTGTCTGCTACCCCTCACCCTTTTCAAAACAGCAAGGATGAAGGAAATTATACTAGAACATCGAAAAAGTTCACATTGCATCCATTCTCTGATCGGTACTGGATCTCAGGGAAGCTGCTCAGACCTGTTAATCACAAGAAGTATCAGATTCATGGATCACTAATGATAACTCTTAAATCACTGCAGAGATCTTTAAAAGGGAAAAGAAGCCACTAAAGAAGCTGCTCCAAATATTCCCTTATAAAAACACAACATCAACAGCTGTTTTTCAAAACAGTGGTTCTCAATCTTTAGTGTGCTTCAGAAGGATGGGGAAGGGCTACTAGAACAGACTGCTAGGCTGTACTGCCAAAATTTCTGATTCTGGCCTAAACAGGACCAAGAACGCACATTTCTAACAAGTTCCCTGGTGATGCTAAACTGGTCTGGAGATCACATTTGAAGAACCATTAGTCTAAAAGCATCTAACCTAACCAGGTACAAGAAAGAACAAAAGATAGGCATCAGAATTAACAATGATTAGTTTCACTGCAAGTCAATACAGTGATTCCTTCCTATTCATAAGCATTCCTTGGGCCCTTTATTAATTAGTATATTTACCTAGATCATAATTTTCTGATAGCAAATGGCAGACTATAAGGGAATTTTTTTGTTTGTTTTGGTTCTCAAGCATTCACTCCAGATTTTTGATAATACAAAAAGGGACTCACTGAACTGGAAGGAACCTTGTGACATCATCTAGGCCAGTAGTCTTCAACCCTGGTTCACTAGGATGCCGGATGCAGGAGCTCCTCAAAAGAGGGCTGCCAGAGAATAAGGGAGAGGCTGAGTGCGTCAGGCTCTGACCTCCTGCTTCTCTAGGAGCTTGCTTTAATCACAGTGAGTTTAGTTGTTTTATAATTTGAGGTTCTGTGTACAATTTTGTTTCAGGAAGAGAAAGGATAATTTCCCCCTTATCTGTGCTTCCCAATAATTATTAAGAGCTTATTATATGCCAGATAATGTGTTACTACTGTGGTAGAAGATTAAAAAAAAAAAGACAACAACAAAAAACTCCTGCCTCTGAAAAGCTTCAATGGAAAACGCATGCATCTTTTAACAATAAAATAATACGGTTAGTGAAAAAAGCAGTAAGTTCAGGGAAAGAAAAAGAACTAAGGGTTCCAGGAGATGATGTGTACACTGATTGTATCAGAATTCCTTTAGGAAACATGTACACCTAAACGGGGTATTTGAGACTTCAGTGATTATTTACAAACATGTTGACAGTATTAAGAGACGCCAAAGGGATGTTGAAGCACCCCGGGGCAGCAGAGCAGTGAGTCTTTACCATTCCTAGACCTGAAGAAGCAAGAGGAAAGAATGGTTACCAGAACACAGAGAACTGTGGTTACAGGAGAAGGGTCCAAACAGGAGTGGTAGCCTTCAGCAGAAGAACACAAACATGAGCACCCAGCAGAAAGACAGCCAGGGACAGTTCTAATCCAATGTGGTACCCTGCATTATTGTTTTCACCTCTTCACTGCCTCCCCATAGTAGAATGATACATTCACACCCTTTGCCCTTTGCCCTGGGATTCCACAGAGCCTACCCCTTAAGGAAGAGCACACTTTTTCATCCCACAGACATGGGGCTTAGTCATCGGACTGGCTTCAGGTAGAACACTAGCAGATGTGACTCAAGCAGAAGCTTTAAGTATTCACACATGATCTGGCTTGGTCACTTGGCACTCACGTCCTCTGCCTGAGAAGTCCATGTCACGCAAAGCCACTGCTCCTTTAGCCCAGGTCCCAGAATAAGGAAAAGATGAGTAGATACACACCTAACTTGAAGCTTGGAGACAGGATGAGCCCAGGCAAGAGCAGCTGAACCACAGCCAACCCTCAGCTCCATAGCAAGAAATGAATGTACTGGATTGGCCACAAAGTTTGTTCTGGTTTTCCCGTAGCATCTTACAGCAAAACCTGAACAGACTGTTTGGCCAACCAAACAATAAACCACTGAAACCTAGGGACTGCTAAGCAGTATCATCATAATAAAAACTTAACTGATACAAGCAATCTCATTCACCTCCCCCCCCCACACACTTCCACTGTTGCCTCCTGAACGGCCAAACCCAACCAGAAGCTGAGAGCAAAAAACCCATGGATGTAGTCCATAAATATGCCCCGGAGGAGCAAACTGAGAACAGTCTTGGAGGACAACCAGCCATTCAAGGAAAGGTAAAGACGAGATTTCAGGCAGAGAGACCAACATAAGGAAAGACACAGAAGCAGGAAGAAACATACCTTTGTGCTGAGAACTCTAAGCATCCAACTATCACCAGAATGTGTGAAGTTGAGGCAGAGACAAAGGGGAAAGCTGGGGCTATAAAATATTCTATGACCTTCCATAATACACCAAGGATTTCTTGTCACTGGAAGGCCTTCCAAAGGCCCAAAACTTAATCTGTTGTAGTAACTCCACACTTTCTTACACCTCTGTATACACATCATAACCTTTGAGAGATGCATTATGATACTACAGTAAAAGCAAAGAAAAAGAGCAAATATTAATATTAGTAATTCTGAAAGTATGTTCTAGTTCATTCATGAAAAGACAACCAAACTTTCCTGGTATGAGATAAGAGAATCAAAACCGTACCTACAGACTATGCAGGAGTATATATGCACAGTTTCTAATGACACCTAGCTCCCTCAGAACCAGAAAGGGATAGGAATGCACTCACAACAGCCTCCATTAGAGTGGGAAACTCAACAACTCCACTTGTGCCCACAACTCTGAGGCATGGGTGAGACACCTCCCCATGGTCTCTTTCCAAAATTAGGATTTGGTGCCTAAGTCTCATAGTCCTGGGATCCCTTCAGTTACTAAGGAGCCAATCTGGATCACCCTAGACATATAGCCACTGTGCTTCTGGCTTTCAATCACTTAACCCTCGGAGAAAAATCACTGGATTTCAGAAAGGACTTTAGAGATCTACAAATCACTCACTTAGATTAAGAAAACCACAGTCTACCCTTTATAAAATTACATTCTCAAACCAGTCAATCCTAAAGGAAATCAACCCGGAATATTCAATGGAAGAACTAATGCTGAAGCTGAAGCTCCAATACTTTGGCCACCTGATATGAAGAGTCAATTCATTGGAAAAGACTCTGATGCTGGGAAAGATTGAAGGCAAAAAGGAGAATGGGGCAGCAGAGGGTGAGATGGTTAAATATCATCACTGACTCAATGGACATGAATTTGAGCAAACTCCGGGAGACAGTGGAGGACAGGGAAGCCTGGCGTGCTGCAGTCCATGGGGTCGCAAAGAGTTGGAAATGACTGAGCGACTGAACTGAACTAGCAATAAAAGGGAACAATACTCAAATGAAAATATCACAGATAAATTTTACAGACTTTAGATGAGCAGAAGAAGCCAAACACAAAGAAATGAACATTCTGTAATTCCATTTATGACGTTCTCCAACTGGCAAAACTAATCTAAAGTGGAAAATAAAATCAGAACATTGATTGCCAGGGCAGGGAATGACAAAGAAAGGACACAAAAGAAATCCCTGGATAGATAGCAATGTTCTATATTATGAGTTGGGAGGTTACAAGACTTCATTTGTTTGTCAAAATCGTGTAGCTAAGATATGCACATTTCAATTTATATAAATTATAACTCAAAAAAGTGATAAAAATAATAAATGGAATGTGGGGTAGAATGTGGGTGGAAACATGAAATAACGGAAGAAAGTTGATAAGTGTTGAAACTGTCTGGCTCATGAGGTTCATTATTCTATTTTGTTTACTTTCCATATGATTGATATCTGTTTAGAATTAAAAACTTAATATATGTAAACAAATAAATATATTGCCTTATACCTGACTTCTGCAAAAGATTAAAAAAAAAGAAAAGAAAACCACAATCTAAAAGAGCTATATAAAATTCTTACTGTCACACACTTAGGGTAGCACAAAAGTGTATAGTACAAGATCAAACTACTGTTTAAATAGTAAAAAATAAAGAACCAATAATTAACACACACAAGCCCTCCTCACAGGAAGTTAGACTTCAGAAAAAAGATCTTTTCTATAATCTATTCACCCAGAACACTACAGTCATTTATTGTTGCTGTTTAATCACCTAGTCGTGTCCAACTGTTTTGCGACCCCATGGACTGCAGCACGCCAGGCCTCCTTGTCCCTCACCATCTCCCAGAGTTTGCCCAAGTTCCTGTTCATTGTTTCAGTGATGCCCCCTTCATGGATCACAGCCTTGTCAATGAAGATGAGTCATGCCATGCAGGGCCACCCAAGATGAATGAGTCACAGCAGAGTTCTGACAAAACGCGATCCACTGGAGGAGAGAATAGCAAACCACCCCAGTATACTTGTCATGAGAACCTCATGAACTATATAAATGGTCATTTATAAATAAGGTTAAAAAAGTGAATTCTCTCCATGTGAAAATAAGAATGTCTTACCATCCAGTAATACAATGTTACAAAATAACCTTGTGGTTATTCTTTGGTTTTAATAAAAAGCAACTTACCATCCAGTAATACATAAAGTTATTTTTTGGTTTTAATAAAAAGCAACTTTCCAAAGTTCTATCCTTGACACTATAACACCCCTGGATCAATGATCCTCAAATTCTGAACTACCTGCATAAAAAAAAAAAATCACCACAGGTACTTACGGAAAATGCAGACTCCTGGGGCTAACTCCAGACCAAACTGAGGAGCTCAGAAACTTGCAGTTTTAACAGTTCCCCACATGGTTTTTATGCCTTAAAGTTTGAGAACCACTTTCACAGACAACCATCATACTCGCAGTGAGGCACTCCTAGAACCATCCGAATCCTCCCAGAAACACTGAACCAACGTCCCAAAGCTAGGATCATGATTACCTTGCCGGCCTTCATCGTTGGTAAAGAGCCCCGTGTCACTGCTGCTACACACACTGCTGGTTTCACTGGAAAAAAGTAAAACACAAGAGAACACATCAGATCCAGTCAAAACAAAACTGTCCGTTCATCTTCTGGTTTTCAAGTCGAAAGATCCCAAGTTTCCCTCATTTCACTCTAACTCATTAGCCAATCAGAAATATAAATTTCACATTTAAGTATAGGGATAAATTCATTTTCCCCCAAACAAAAGAAATGTAAGAAGAGGAGAATTGTAAAACTTTTACTTATATTTTAAACTACTTTCAAAAGATCACAAGTCACTTTGTTAGTTTACCAAGAGGAAGTTATTTATAGACGCTCATGGAGGTAATTTCCAACCTGCCTTGGTATATTAAACAACACAAATTTATCAACCATTTTTATTTTTAAATATTGTCAACTATCAATTTCAAATGAAGCCATGCAACTTAAAAGATATCCAGCATGTTTCAAGTTTACAAAGCAGCAAACAAAAATCCACACAAAAAAATCGGTATGACAAAAATTATATTTTCTAAATTTAATGTCTCTTGATATCAAGTAGATACAACAAAATGCACTTTAAAAATAAGGAAAAAAATGAAAATGTAAAAACAAATTCCATTTGAATTCACCAAAATAAAAACTTTGGCACCACAGAATGCTGTCCAAGTCAGCTTCATCCTGAGCTACTTCCAACAACTGATTCTGCCTCTTTGGATGCTGCGTTTCTCCCACCTAATCATCAAATTCGATTTATCTGGCGCAAGAAAAATTTCTCTATTCTTTACAATACTAGCCATTTCCTTGATGGGGATGTTTCCTTCCAAGCTAGTCAAGTTCATTCACGTGCTCTAGAAAACAGGAGACGCATCCTCACCCTGCTGCATAAAGAATAGGCTTGGCAAAATCCCAGTCTACACTTCTGGATCCAAACTCTGAAAATATTTTGTATTTTGCAACATTTCCAAACGTCTTGCCAACACTAAATCCTAAAAATGCCAGTTAAATTATGTAGCAGTGTTTCCTCACTTAAGCTTGTCTCTGGGTAACGGATCCAAGAAATCTGTTGCAGTAAGAGCCAATAAAACATACCTGATTTCCTTAAAGCTTCTTTCATTTTCCTCTGCACTTATAAATGGGAACATTCTCCAATGTCATTATGAGAAATGGCTCACAAAACTTAGCACCACTGGATTCTGATGGATTTAGAATCTTCAAAGTGCTCTGCAGTTAAATCCAGAAGACATCCTCACGGGGTACTGCATTCTCCCTACTTCTGAGTTTAAGGAATGGGGCCTGCTAACTTGATGGTGCTGTTTTTGTTTTTAGCAAGTTCCTGAGAGTATTAATGGTATACTCTAACTCCACTGAATCTTACTACACATTCTCTCATATCAACTACTTTATTACTATCATCTTACCTCAAAGGTAAAGCATATTTTGTTTATTTTTCAGCTCCTCTAGATGTTAAGGAGGGCTTAAAAAGCACATCAGACCATAAAATAAACATTCTACTCCACCATTGTGTTATATGCATTCTTGGTTAGCATATCACTGAGATGTAAGGGTCATCAAACAACAGCCTGTCAACTATTTTTGTATGGGCTGTGAACTAAGAATGGTTTTTATAGTTTTAAATCACCGGGTAGGGGGGAGATCATATGGAGACTACTCTGTGACATAGAGACATGACACAAAATTCAAATTTCAGTGTCCATAAAAGAAGTTTTATTGGAATAAAAAGTTCCAATATAGTTTTGTTCATTCATTGACTTACAGATTCTGCCTTCTTTCACACTACAACTGCAGAGTTGAGGAGTTGCAATAGAGAACACATATTACCCACGAAGCCCCCAAATATTTGCCAGCTGGCTTTTTACAGAGGCAATTTGCTGCTTCCTGCTCTATGTGTGTTACAAGTTCTACCCTGCAATGTCTATGGGCTCCTCTGTTTGTTTGGATATTTCCAATTAAGAAATTTAACTGTGGCCTTTTTATAAAGGCTGTGGGTTCTGCCCCTATGCATTTCCAGCCACCTGTAAGCACTACAAGATACCATGTTTCTTTCCTCCTTTTTTGCATGGATTCCATTATCTCCTCAGACTCTAAATAAAGGGAATGATCTGCTGGATCCAGGAAGGTATGGGTAACCCAAAACCTTCCTGTCCCTGCATATTTTCTATTTCTGTCAACAGTATTTAAGGAGACTCACTGTTCTTGAAAGAGCTTGAACTAAACTTGTCTGTAAGTTTTCCATATATAGTTAGAGTAACAGCAATGATGTCATAGAAATATCCCTAGGATTTTAAGACTGTGTTCAAGGGAGATATGTATTTTCTTCACTGAGAAAATAATGTGTGCCTTACAGAACACTTATTACATAGAAGTATCATCATTCCACCAATATCTGGAAATGACTATTTCATCTGATAGCATCTGCTAATTCTATCCATGTCCCCAGAAGAACCTGCATGGTGAAAATCTAACTGCATGTAAAAAAAACTGCATAATTTACTGAGGACAAAAAAACAGAACTTCATGGCATAAGTTTTTTTTTTTATTTGCACATAAACACTATGATACAGCATACAAAAATATAGGGCTAGCTATGAAACAGAAGCAAATTTTTCCTTTTCCAATTTATAGGCCAGAGTCCTGTGGCCTTCATTCACTTCCGAATCAGAGATTACCATTAAAAAAATTAATCAGATTAGTAGGATTTTAATAATGATTCAGTCAACTGTAAAATGTTAATTCAGTTAATTAAACAGAATGTTTAATATTCTGTTAAAAATAAGCACTTATCTTCCAATAAAAACAACTGCCTTTTAGTACCTTTACAGATCACAAGGTCAAAAAGTTAAAAGATGGTAGACTACTACACATTTTTCCTATTACAAAATCTTGAACAGTTTACACCTTTTTTTGCTATGGGCAATTTTACTAGGCAAGGAAAATAGCTCTGTTCCTCATTTTTATAAGAAAAAGAAAATGAGATCCTACCTCTAGTATCCACTTTAGTTCTCTGAAGCTTAGTCAGGAAGACAGAAACTCAGCCTTGATTAATCATCAGAAAAAGTAACAAGACACAGCCCACAAAGATGGCAGGTAATGAAAATCTTGTCTTTTCCCAAAATGACAGCAACTCCTAGAGGCACCACGCCTCCTGCCTTTGCCTGGGGAGCTGTTCTGTGCTCCTTGTCTCACATGATTCTAATCTATAGAGAGTTTGCATATAAAAGTCTTCATTGAATATTTTGAAAATATTTTGGGGCAGAAATGTATCAATCTACAATACATCATTCAAAAATATTCTATTGTAAATTGGGGCAATAAAAAGTCTCTACCAGGAAAAAGAGGAGGAAGGATTTTCCCCACTATTTCCCCTAAATTTTCACTCATTCACTTAGTAAGCATTTATTAAGTTTTACTTTATACCAGACCCTGCTATAACCAGCACTAAAACTAACAAGGAAGCAGGCCAACTATGATTTAAATGCATGTATTTAAAAAAAAAAAAACTTGGTATAGTCCATGGGAGAAGACTGTGAAAACACGTAAAGAAGAGTGCTTTCCAATGAAGAAAATTCTTCAATGAGGGATGGTGCAAGTTGAGAATTTAACCTTTTAATACTGAGAAAACCACCCCATATTAGAAGCCAGAAAATTCCTCAAAAATATTCATATGTAAGTAAAAATAGTAGTAATACAGCACACTTCCCTGGTTTTCACTGAAAAAAAAAAGGTTCCAAAATTTAGCAGCATAGCCGCTATTTAAGATACGACCAAAAAAATAAATAAAGCCTAGATTTTTGGATGACCAATTAATTGTATTAATATTACCTACTTTTTATAATATTGTTAGAAAAACAACTGAACCATATCCAACTGAAATACATAAATGTAAAGAAAGTCAACCTAACCAGCAGTTCCAAAGGCTTTCCTCTCTCAACATTTTATTATGAAGACATCCAAACAAACAAAAAAACTGAAAGAACTTACCGCTCACACTCTATCACCTAGATATTGCAATTAACATTTTGGTTTTTTTGTCTTGTCACACATCTGTCTGCCTAACCTTAACCAATCATCTTGGTGATTCAAGGCACTCTGGGTAAACCAAATGACTGGGCATGGCATCCATTTTCAGAGGGATAGACTATTATAGGAATCAAGCCTAATAAAATACTATTGATATTTTTCATCCACTTAAATAGTTAATTCCAGGGTGGAGTTAGCTAAACATTGTAAATTTTGGTGCAAATTTTTAAATGCTTTCATCTGAACTGCTCTTCTTTCCGAGTTCTGAAAATGAATTGCCTGTCCTTTTCAAGAACAATTTTAAAACGTATGGTTTTCAAATTAGGAAAAACTCTCCATTTTTAAATCATAGTATTTTTATTCTATAAAAGAAATCAATGTTTTGGTCTTACTGAGTATTCTAATTTGAAAGTCGTGCTTGTTGGTAAAAGCAGAGTCAATGAAGTAAAAAACTCCATCTCAGTACCAGAAACATCGAGAGCAGTGGTTCTCAACTGGAGGTAATTTTGTCCCCCTTCTCCTATCTTCCTGCCCCACCCCAGCCCTTGGGGTCACTTGGCAATATCTGGGAAAGGCTTTTTTGTCAGGACTTGGAGGCAGGTAGAGGGAGCTGGTATTCTATTGGCATTTAGCAAGCAGAGGCCAGGGATGCCACTAACATCCTACAACGCACAAGACAGCCCCTACAACAGAGAATCATCCGGCCCAAAACTGTTGGCAGCATCAAAGGTGAGAACCCTCATCTAGAGTGATGAATAAAGTGGAGGGATGAAGGGGGTGGGACATCACAGTTAAGGAGGGAAACGACTTCGGAGGAGGGGCAGAGGTCAACATCGTATAGAAGAAACAATGTCATTCTGTCGCCAGGACTGAGTCAGGGCCTCAGTCTGAGGTCTAGCAGATCCCACCATGAGCAGGTAGCTGGACCTTCAGGCTAACTGGTCTGAAGAACTGAAACTCCTTATGAGTTGTACAGGTCACCCTTCCCAGCTTAGCCCAGACA